GCCCATTGACGTCTGCACCTCCAAAAGATTTGCAATTACGTTGCCGGCTTTTTGGACTAGCCAACAAACGGCTTGAAATGGGAGATTTTAGGATTTGAAATGGAAAGAAGAAGGATAATATTTGGCCTCCCGTATCTTGGCTCACGTTGCGAAAGACAAGAGAAAACTGGTGTGACACTAGTCAGTTTTCTCTGAGGCCCTAGTACCGCTTCGGAGGAGCCGGACCAAACGTGCCGAAAAATAGCTCTCCCAGACTTAATTTATCTAGCAGTAGTACAAATACATATAGTCTAGTTATTCAGATTTTTCAAGTACCTATAATATTTCATTTTAATGTCAAAAATGCGTCCCATTTTACATGAAGACTAATTTTTCAATGAAAAGTATAGACATGTAAGCATTCGTCATTTTCCGAAACTTCAAATTCATTAAGTAAGCCATTCAGTCTTCGAAGGCTTTATGCGTCTCCAAACAGTAACATAGAAGGTATTTATTGCTTTTCATTTTCATTACGACTGCTCCAAGCTCCAAGACACTACATCTTTGATTCCGTAACATACTAGTTTCTTCTTGCCAACAAAAATTTTGGAAGTCTACCAAAATTGACGAAAATTTTATTGTTTGCTTAGTTGCTCATGGTTTTGGTAACCTTTGTCTTCTGGCTTTGTAATTCTAGCCTTATTGTAGGCAATTAATTAATTTTATTTATAAAGACTATCAATAAAATAATCTCGTTTTTCCTGTCGCAGGTCAGCTGCAAGAGATTCCAATAAGGGATGACCAGTACCTAAGTACCTATTTACTTTTTTCTTATTTTCTGTGTCACTACATAAACAGCAAATAAATAAAAGTGTGTTTTATATATTCACAAGTCGCAGTTAATTGAACCACGCACTTATAGCTAACAAACTGGGGTTAAACTTATAATGCGTTTAATATTAGGTCATACTGCTTATACTACTTAACATTTTTACACTAGAGATATGTGTAATACAACAATTCAAGGTTGAATTGAATTGAAATAATTAAACTTATCGTACACTTAAATTGATTTACTTAGAATGGACGTAGGTACTGTTAAGTCTGTTAACTAAGTATCAAGACTGGTCAAGTTTGTCAAATGGTCTCTAAGCTAAAGAGTATCGATTTGGCAAAAACTTTAGCTAAAACATTTCACGTAAAAGCGATACACGTAACTTTTCTTAACCGACCAATCAGCTGCCACCAGAAACTCGACTCAAACTACCGTAGAGAGTAACAGTAGTCCTACAAGTATTAATAGCTCGATGGGCAGTCAGGTGCATTACAGCAAAACTAGGTTACCTTAGCTCACTAATCTCATATAACTTGTGACAAGGAAGTGTGCTGACAGCCTGACATAATGGCTTTACCTACATAATGACGTCACAAGTCCATGTATCTCATTACAGGCCGTTATGGAAGCCAGACTGATGCATAGTTATTATGAAGCGGCTTCTGTAATATGCATTTTGTTGTTATCCTGTAACTAGGCTGAGTATGTTGTAATCCTCGTGTAAATAGGTCGAAAGTTATTTGGAACAGAAGTATTTTCGTATACTTTTTTTAGAAAATATGCTTTGGTAAAACTTTTCGTATTATGGCGAATGCAGTGCATTGTGCATATTGCAAATGGCCGCGTGGATTGCTGGCATTAAAACTTTTTGCATCAAATTTGCTGGCAGTCTCAACTTTGGTATTTTTTGCATAGTTATCATCATGCACGTCATCTACCATACAACGGAGACGTATGGATCTAAAAGAAACTGTAATTTTTTCCAAAACTCACTCTTTTCCCACTGCAAACTCCTGATAAGCATGACTCACATACTCTAAAGAACGTAGATACGACAGTAGCCACATTATGAAACAGTTATAACAAAAGCAAACTCGTGGAGTAAACGCGTATCATTTCACTTCAGACCGCGTTAAATTGAACAAAGGATCAAACTTTAGCCATGCATGTTCAAGTTCTAGTCTCGTGGTTTTGTTCGTACGTCCTGTCTAGTTAAATTGACGATAATAGTATGTTAACCGATACAAGTTTCATTTTGATGAGGATCTCCAAGTCTTCACGTAAAGTCTTTGTTGAATTCAAAGCTAGAAACTGACGCCAACCTCTTTTCTTCATAGATCGACGCCTATTGTAATGTCTATCCTCTTTACTTATTGAACTACGTATTGTGAGTTATAAGACCACAAAGGAAAGGCTGTTATTGCTTTGTTCATTATGGCAAGAATATGATGCTAAGGTGTTTCTAATGCTTATGTTGCGGGGCAAGCGCAATTGGCGCTGCCCATTGACCATTATGCATGTAATACTAGAGGGTTACAGGTGAGTTACCGGATTTCTGGGGATAAGAATTTCGGAGATTTAGGATTCAGAGAGATTGGGGGAGGAAAAGGATTACACCTCTGGTAACATCACTAAGCGAAATACAACGCTGTGGTTGTTTCACGTCAAAATATTATGCTGTGGTTTTTTCATGCAGGTTTTCTGTGAGATCTTCTTCAAGGTTAATATTTGGATTGGGTTGAAGATCGCAGTTTACAAAATTCTGATTTTGTTTCAACGGTGCTACTAGTTTTGGCAAATGTGTAGTCTTAAATTGATCCTTAAGACACCCTTAGGAAGTCTGAAGTCATAGTTTATTAGTGACAAAATTATTCTATTCTGGAACCATGTGTACCATAGTTCAGTATAATGCTTTCCAGAGAAACGATCATGTACGAAGTAGAAGACTGCACGGTTGGCGCGGTGGCTGGGAAACTGGATGCTGCGTAACTTGTCGGGGGTTCGGTTCCCGCACGTGACAACTCTTTGCGTGATCCACAAATTGTTGTTCCAGGTCCGGGTGTGATGTGCATATGGAATTGTATGTTAGTAAATGCGCCCACAATACAAGAAAAATACTAGTGTAAGACAACGTTTTATTAAAGAATATATGCCCAACTTTTATATCCATCAATAGTTCTATATAATTTGCCTCACTTTTAAATATTTAGGGATCAGAAACTCAATACGTTCTTTATTTATTTAAACGACCCTCGAATGAAGTCACAATAATTCAATACTTATCTAAAGCGCTTCAACAAATATTCATGCTTTTTGCGCGCATTTACTGCTGTTGGCATGGGCCCAGCTTTTCCTAAATGTTATGTACCTATAGGCTATAGTAGATACAATCTATAGGTAAACTATTGGTTCGAAGGTTACAAAGTAATTTACGCTCCCAGCTGGCTTTTTATCAGATCAGTACCTACTGCTCATAAATATTTATAGATAGCATTCGCGTGCTAACTCTTTGATGTCACTTTTTGTGACAAGAAGTTTTAGACCGTTTTTTTTCAGTAAAGGGTTACTATATAAAAAAAGGATTGGTATAGGGTCGGATGGCACGAGTTAAATGCAATACAAGGCGCGCGCGCGGGACCAGTCCGACCAGTTGCTCGCTCCGCCCCGCGCTCCCCTTGCGAACAGCTGACAGCTCCGACAACAAAGAACATCAACCCAACCCACACAAACATAACACGCTACGTACAATCACGATACATTATTATTATTTTCAATTCTACACGCGAGTGTATTGATTCAAATTATTAAACTACCGGAATAATTATAACAAATTATGAGTCATTACAAGAACAACTCGATATTAGAAGCTAAGTAACATTTTGATAAATCAAGGTCTTTCGTTAGACCTCCACGACGCAATCTAGGTACCTAAATGTGTTATTGCTACCACAAATGTACATGACAACAAACTAAACCGTTCAAGTATTGAGTAAACAGTGTTGACCATGAAAATCAAGCCCTCCTATGTGAAAGGTGAATACATAGGACCTAACAAAGGGCAACTTTGTACTTGCCTTTCTTTTCATCCAATACACGAAGGCCCCGAGTTGTGGCACTCCGGTGAACAAGAGTCTCTTTTCAAAACAATAATGTCTACTTATTATGATGATTTATCACGGCATCTTTGTTTAAAACGCGACGGTCACTTATGTCGTAGTTTTTCACTGTCCGGTTGCTATGGTGCTGTGAATTATCACGACACTGGACTTGCGAGTTTTTTTCATTCGTTATTGTTGTCGTAAGTACTTTATGTAGTCAATGTTTACGATGTATTACGTTCTATGTGTTATTTACATCACTATTTAGAGGCCTGCGAACGTGATAATCGTTGCACTGCCTGCGCACTTTATTTGCTGCGCTTCTGCGTCAACAAAACAGTCGCTCGGCACTCAATGTCGGGCGAAATCGCCGCCTGGTTCGGTCAAGTTCGCCCTCTCATTCGCTAGCCTAGCAAACCTCGCGATTTTGTCCCGCTCTCACTTTTGACATTTTACAGGCAGGGTTGCAGCGTTTTAATTCCATAACTTACAATGTTTTTCTTCGAAATCTGTAATAAATTACTATTACAACAAAATATTTCTGTTGATATTGTAATGCAAACATTAAATTATATTTATTCATAAAAATTGAAAAGGTTTATTTAATGTTTTACAGTGCCTGAATCTATTAAGTAGCAATAAATGTAGGAAGAGTATCATTTAGATAGCTATGATTTTTTCTAAAGGAATAAGGCTTCTATTTATAATATTGTAGTTATATGAATATAATCTAAACTTAAGCTATACTTACAGTATTTAAATTAAGTTATAATTTTTTAATTTAAAAATAATCGAATAATTACTTAATTAATTATGATTGAAATAATTACTACAACAACTGCAATTATATTTGTTACTACTTGCTTTATAGCACTGTAAGCTAAAAATAATTATTATTGTAGTTTCTATACAGGTTTATAGTAAAATAATATGATGATGACAGAATTTGAATTGAAGTAAAACTTTACCATTTTCTTAAATTTAAATCGGGTGTACCAGGGAAGGAAGGTTTCAGTGAATGAACAGCAACAAAGTCCACATACAGTTTACAATAAATAAATCAATTTATTTAAAAAAAAAACAACAAATTTCGAGAGCATACTTAAAGAGTTTATTATCAGTATCACAAAAATTACAGATTTATTTTAAAATATCTATGATTGCAGGTGGGCAATAGTTATGTGTTCTTCTGCCAAAACTTGGCGGCATTGCGGGGAGTCTTGCCTTTGCCCGAGTTCTTCTTTGGCGCGGAATGAGTCTCGCTGCCACCACCCGTAGCGGACTCGTCATTCTCTACTTGCGATTTCAAAGTCTTCTTAATGTACTGAATCTGAAAAAAGAAAAAGATACAAGTTAATATTTGCTGAATTTAAAAAATATAACAAATTTTCAATATGTCCCAAGTTTACTGAAAAACGGAGAAAGAAAAGTGCACCAATACAAAGTAAAATTCAGTAATAAAACACTATAGCCTGCGTCCGCGCACGCTGCTTATGAAAAAGAACTACTCAGTGGTTCGAAACTAGAAGAGCTTTACTCAATATACATATACACGTGAGTAACCCGCAATTTTTAGTTAATTTAGTATGCCTCACGATAGTTATTATAAAAACATATGTCAAGATTGTTAACATTTGTTAATTACCTCCAGTGATTGACTGTAGCACTAGTCATTTTCAACAATGATGATTAGGATTAAATTTGGATTAGGATTACTATTTCTTTCATCTTTATTTATTTGTAGGTTTGTTGCAGGGCAAATAAACTGTTTTTCTTTCCTTGTGTCCTTTTGGACTTGTATATTACACTAAAAAGGTTTTACTATCACATATAAATACATGTGCAATACAAACCTCCTGATCAATATTCTGTTGATGCCTAATAGCTCTTTGTTTATGATGATTGGCTCGCAGTATATGTCTGTCAACAGAATTGAGGACGGCTTCGCAAGCATTGCACCAGTCTGCTAGGACATCGGCGATGGCAGAAGCATCTTCAAGGCGAGCATCTCGACCCAATGCAACGTCAACTTCTACGCGTTTACATTCTTGATCTAACTTGCCATGGATTATGTCTGGAAAATTTGAGAGTTGAGATGTTAGTGACATTTTCTTAAATACACACAAATTATAAGTAACATTTATCAGTTCAGAGAGATTTGTGATACTCTACAAAGATGTGATTGACACTATGTCATATTGGAATAGAATTTATATCTTTTCATGTAGAAAATTAAGTTGTATTTTAAATAACTGTGGGAGAGCTATGCTTGGTCACGAATGGGGCTGCTCGACTGGAGTGATACCATGGTCACACAGAAAACTGGCTTGACAAAATAACCAATAATTAATTTTCTTTTATTTTAAAATAAAAGAAAATTAGCATGGCCACAGTGCTAGGATGACACGCATGTTTAACAGCAGATCTAATTATAGCATTCAATACAAAAACTTCCCTGAACATGTCAATAGATAATAATAGGTTTAATAGAGGAAGGAATTTTTGAATCTTCTTCTTGCCATGGAAGTGAGGTTATCAGAGGCGAAATCCTTCCCTTATCCCTACTCAACACGTAGCCTCTTGCAACTCTTCTGGTGTGTTGTGGTTGTCCATCAGTGGACTTATTGCTTGGTTAGGACATAGGCTTGTTTGCTGACCTACCACATAAAATAATGCTTGCTCTCTTAAAGAGAACATTTTTTCCACCAATTATTTTTTTTCTTACTGAATTGCTAAGGGCTTAGTTAGACTGTGTACCAGACTCAACAGAATTTTATCCATTAACAAGTCTTTAAAAATCTTTAAAACTTTACAGATAATGCTTTTGAAGAATTATAAACAATCAAAGGCTACTGATAATTATTTGAGAACATCAATTAGTTTGCCATAAGTTTAAGGGTTGTGGCTGCCTATCCTTCCATAGTTAGTTGCAGTTTTAAGATAATATACATATAAAAGATTAATATCTTCTTATATATAGATATTAATTGCATTGATTTGTTTGCCTCACAACTCATAGTTACTTAGTATTATTTTGTACTTGAATTAATTGTGGAAGTTCAAGGAAGGTTTAATAGTGACAAAATATGGACAAATTACATTGCCCTAGAAAGCTATTTATAATAAAACCATTCTTACCTGCATAAATAGCTTCTATAATGAGATCCTCCAAATCTCTTACATTTTTTATATCTAATTCTTTCAGTAACACGCTATAAGGTATACATTTCTCCTGTGTTGCCAGCGTAGCAATAGTCAAGTGTTGCAATTTCTTGCATTGAGCTGGAGTTAGTTCTAGGTAATCAGACTTATTCTCCAAGTAGTCTTTGTATGTGCCATATGCAAATAGATTAAGTGTCTTCAGATGAGTTGCGTAAGGTCCAGTTTCCAACTGCAATGATTAATTTGTCACTGTTATATTTTTGTAATGTTTTAAAGTAACTTTAGTTGACTGTTAGTAATATTTAAGTGTTACATAATAATGATATAATTCATAGCCTGTTGAATTAATTGTTTGAGCTTGCATCTTGTATCACTTGTTTACATTTGTTGGTTTTTTGATATAGCTAACTACCTGCGTAATTTCTTATAAAACAGCAGACAATACCCATGTCTAACAAATATTTTTTTAAAACAAGAAAGATGAGTCGATAAACCACTTTCAACGTAGACTATAAACAATAAGAACGCATAATAACCTCTTTTATATTCGGCATTTCAAGAAGCTCTCCAAATACGTGGACCCCTGGTGCTTCTAAAACCTGTTTGATAAGTTCCGCACATGCTGATCCTTTAGCTCCTTTCGCTAACAACACAAACTGTTCCAAAGGATGGTTCGTTGAAAAAGATAACAACGAAGAAGGTTCATCTCTGTCCATTGACATCGGGTTCATGGCGACTGTTGCAAATTCTTTTCAATATCTCAAAAGTCTCAAGTTACTAAAAACAATTAATAAATAATGAACAAACTTTACACTTTATAATCTTTTGCTTACTGGCGAATTGGTGAATATACGAATTACAACCAATACAAAATCTGATTTTAGAGTAGACCGTGACACAACGAAGGCGATTTTATGATTTTATTTTGACAGTTTATCTCGGACTGCTTCATTCAGTGTCCGCGTTTTGTTGTTCGAAATGTATGGTTTGTTCGTTGGCGAGTTTGATCATTTTACTGAGTTTGAAGCTACTTTATATTCAATTAAACTACTTTCAAAACATTCACACTAATTTGAAAATGTTTTTTACTTTATATAATGTTTTGACCACCTGTTTTTATTATCATGAATGACCACTTGTTTCTGATTTAAAACGTAAACCATAGACCTTTATTTCCTTTTTTATCTCCTAATTCCTTCAAAAATGAAAATATATTGAAGTACTTAATTATTTTTCATTGAAATATGTTAATTAAACAGTGTTTTAAATTCTTTTAATTAGCCATACGTAATTTTTGTATAAAATTGACACAAAGAAACAATAGATTTCAACATTACATTGTAAGTTTAATTGTTATCATTGCTAGGTGAATGAGTTGGAGTTGAGTTTAAAACCCTTAATGGACCATAAACAATAAAATGGCGTCCGGTTTTTTGTGTGTGCGATAAAATTATTGTTTTCATGAAATCTTAAGATTTATCTACGTTTCGGATATGTAGTGATATTTATTAGTAATTTAATATAGAAATGATTAGTTTTAGAGTGTCTAATAAACTAAAACACTCATCGTTGGTGGAAAATAATGTGCGTGTCAGTCCTGCTCATAGCGTCGTTGTCCTATGCCGCCTTTTATATTGAGTTGATTAGACTAATTTACGATGATTTCTTCGTGTAGACTGGTGTCCGTCAGTCAATAAAAGCATCGTTAACTATGAATTTACATAGATAGTACGTTTTTGTCGGCATTGTGATCGATGAGTGCGTTGTGCGTTTGTAGTTGTGAAAGCGTACATACATGTTCGTAATGTTAAAACTGTCATGAGGATTCTTGTTTACTATCAAATATCGAATTTGTGTTAGTGAATTAGTTTTATCAATTGTAATGAATTATATTTGTTGATAAAAATGTGTATGCCTACTCCAAACAATGTTTCGGGCTTCGGTTACTCGTGGGGCTTCACGAGTTCCGCGGACCTTACGAAGGGCGAAGTGGAAACACCGAGTAGTTTGAGTTACACTCTAGGAAATACGGTATGTATTGTAATGAAATTAGACCTTATGTCATACTAACTCTTCCAAGTGACATTTGCATAGTAATTAACTTTCACGGTTCAGTAGAAATTATAATGTTGAATTGACGCGTTTTACTTACTTGGAAACCTATTTGGTAGCCAAATTTATTGCTTTCTTGCTGTATATATGATTATTATAAATGTTTACTAACTGTTACATCATATTTATTTATAAATAAATAAATCCTTCACAGAAAGGATAAAAACAACAGTCACTAATGGCAAAAATATAATTTATCACTATAAGATTTTCTAACTAAAATACTTTGGATATTACATTATACCACATGCTTATTGAAATTGGTTATGATTAATAAATTTAATATTGTGGGAATCAAGTTTAATACTGTTGCATAAAGTTTAGGTGAATCATAGTCAAGTAATCTTAGTAGGTCAATGAATATTATGTTTTAAATGATAATCATATTTATATTTAAATGATAAACCGGCTTTGATTTTAGTAATTAGTGTATAGATAAAATCGAATTCTTAATACTATTAAGGATAAAGTTATTATTTGTTTGCAAAACTTTTTTATTAATTTTTTTTTTAAGTAGCTTTATTAATTTTTATTTTTCCCTCTTTTCATTTTGGTTCCACAATAAAGGTTTACTGATGTCCTTGATGACCTTTTCTATTACTTGAAATCTCAAATTATTTGTGTTAAATATTTCTGTCCCACTGTTTAGTCAATATTTGAAAAATCAAAAAATGATCAATAATTGTATGTTTAGTGGACTGTACACTACAGTACATTTAATACCACAAACCACAAAGATTAGTTGAAAAACAGTGAATATAGAATGAATAAATTATAACTTTAAGTAAGTAGAACAAATGGCAACTCAAATAAAACAAATTGCTATAAATCAATAACAAGTCTATCTCAATATTCAGAGGTAACCCTTTTTAGGATCTCAAAGTTTTGGTTTTTGTTCGTTAATCATTTCTAAGGTCATAATAAGAATAAAATTCCCTTCGTAAGACTATGACATAAATAACAAGGGACTCTATTCATACTTGATGTAATAGGTGACTAATGTAGAGGGAATGTCTGTGGCATGTCTTTACACTCACTGCTGGCACACTCAATGGCTCGTAGTACCTCCCTGAATTATGCTTCGCCATTTAATTTTATGCTGGCTACCCTCACTTAGTTTCATCCAATGCTCAGCTCCTATATATCTAAGCGTGATGTTTTATAACCTACAGCCTTCCTTGATAAATGGACTAACAAATACAAAAACAATTCTTCAAATAGAACCAGTAGTTCCAGCTAACAAAGTCTTCAGCTGTATAATATTATTATAGATTAGGCCATAAAATTACTCTGTTAATATTAATTGATCTCAAAAGATAGTGTTACAGAATGTACATAAGTACTTGGATTCCCGATTTCCCAAACTTTTTAAAGCAATTGATACCTGTACAGCGAGTTCTGTATATGTATATTTTTCTTGTAAAACACAATTTTAAATTGTTTACAGGTGTCTCCAGAAACAACACTAACTGTTATGGCCCATAAGACACCTCAAGTCCAAGAAAAAGTTGGTGCGGTCACAGTAGCGGTGTCAAATTCAGGAGCTCAGTTGACGAGGGTAGTTACTACAGGTACGCCAGTCACTGGGAGACGGGCGATGTTTGTTGTGAATGATGCCACCACTCATACTATCAACAGAGTATCACAACAGAATCAAACGGCAACTATACATAGTAAGTGTAAAATCTTGTGGTTTATGAAATTGATATGATAACCTTTGTTTCTTAAAAGTTATTGTGCACCCATTGATACAGCAAGAATACAGCTGCAACTGATTAGCCACCCAAGCTTTTGTTGAGATCCTAGTGGTCCCCCATAACTTACCTTAAAAAGGGACTGACTTTATTCTAGCAGTGATTGTCTTGAAGCTGATTGTGATGCTAATAAGTTTAAATATAATTTTATATTTTCGTAAAGGTGTAACAGCACTTTTCTGTTTAACTAAAAATCGCGGGTGTATATATTGAGAAAAGCTCTACTAGTTTCGAACCACAGAGGATGAGTAACCCACGATTTTTAGTTAATTTAGTATGTCTCACAATAGTTATTATAAAAACACTTTTCTGTTTGTTCCAAATGAGATAAATTTGGAAAAACTTAAGTAATGTATAAGTCATAGTTTGCACCTAAATACTTCTTAAAATAGTTCAAGATTTTTGGTTTTAAAAATGAAACAACAACTTTCTAAATATTATCATCAAACATTTTCAAATTTTAATTTTATAACCCTTGTTCTTTGCAGCTAACCTCACAGCTAAGCCGTTTATGACACCAATAGGACCCTTACAACTAACTGCAGAGGAATGCAACGAAATTCTCATGAAGAGAGCTTTACAAGCACAAGGCATAGCAACTCCTGTGATAGATGCTTCCCAACTTAATCATACTATTCTAAATGGAGGTCTAAAGAGTCTAGCAGAGGCTACTGTACAGCAGACACAAGCAGAAACCATTCAGACGACCACAGTACATCAACATCATTTGTTGCATACCAAGCAGGAACCAGGAACTGCCAATAATTCACCCAAAGTAAGTGGTTTTTAATAATTCACTTTTACTCTTGCAATTGACCACAATTTTTTGTACCCTTGAACTTGGTTCGAAAAATGATTCAGATAGAATATTCGTTTCAATATTTCTCACATACCTAATTGCGATAAGTGGGAGTTGCTTAATATACAGAGACCTCTAACCTTTAGGGAAATATATTATACTGTCTTATCAAAAGATTTTCTGTTGAGTTATTGTTTTTTCCAACGATTTGTTACATGTTATAAAGTTGTTAATCCTCCTAGTCTCTACTGCATTTTCTTTTAAGTTGTTTTTATATTGAGTGGGTATATTGGAAAGGTCCAATTGGATCACCAATCGGCGCAATTGGTAACCAATTCGACCAATGGGTTATCTGCGTGACGATTAGCTGAGCAATGCAATTGGACCATTCGGTGACCAATAGGAGCATTGGTTGACCAACTGGACCTTTGAGTGACTAACCTGACTATCTATGATCGACTGCACGGTTGGCGGGGGGCTGGATATGTGGCTGCTGCACAACGTGTCGCGGGTTTGATTCCCGCACGGGACAAAATTGTGTGTGATCCACAAATATTACGTTTTTCAAGTTTTGATCGACTCTTTGTCAAATAAAAACCTCAAATGCACAGGTTACATAGTAACGTGTAGTTAGACGGTATATTCTCAGACGGAGCTGCTGAACACCAACTCAGTGATGACGACGGCGCCCCCTGCCGCCGTCAAGGAGAGACCCTATGGGTGCGACGAGTGCGGGAAATCCTTTCTGTTGAAACATCATCTCACAACACATGCCAGAGTTCATACAGGTACGTACATGAAACTGTTTTTTTAGACTTTCAACTCTATCCTGTAGGTATCCCTTTTTATTATCTATAGTACCATGACGTTTTAAAGCGTGAATCTTCGGGGCGAAAAAGAGGGATGCAGCTATACACCTTTCCTTCATCTCTTTCTCGCCCGAATGATTAGGACTTATGAGAGGCCCCCTGTTACTATTTCACTTCATTGTATAGCTGTCGATTTTTCTATATTAATAAATATGGAAAAATCGATAGTTCGATTTCTATGTTTGTAGCATTTTGGCAACTATTTGTTCCTGTTGTCTCCCTCACACCCAAAATTAGAGAGTAAAGGATTTCGTTGCATTTCAGCGCGAGCGTGAAAAAACCGTTATAAGATTTAGTATTTTATTATCATTACAATAGTGGTTGTTTTCGTATTACACACGTACCAATTAGATATGCACACAAATATAATTTGCATGGTCCTCCATGCAAATTATATTTATGTGCATATAAACAATTAAAAAAATGGTTCGAAGGTACATTAAGTTGGTTTCTCCTAACTGTTATCTTGGGTTATTTTTTGTAGTGCAAACGATTTTGTACTCCAATTCGATTTGAATAAGACATAACCTGGTTTCGGTGACGCCTGGTTTCTACCTCATATGTTAATTCCTAAATATAATCAATCTATGCCAAACTTCATCTGAATCGACGATTTAGTTTTTACGCGGCTTAGTAAGAAACTTACACGCTTGAAATATCCGTAGGATTATCATAGTGACGTCAGAAAGTAATGTTAGCGACCCTAGCTTTCCTAAGTACTGGAAATTCCACATCACGTGCCCAGAAGTAGGCTTACAGCAAACTTAAAAATACAGGTGGATAAATACAACACTAGTAAGCACCTCGACAGATTTGCACTATGGATTCGTTTCGTCAAAGAAACTAGAGACACCCTCCAACTGCAAACTTAAGTTGGCACAACTATATAATTATTATTAACACTTCGTCATTGAAAAAGTCTCCATGAAACAGCTGTTTTTTTCACTTTATTGACATTTGCATTAGCATAATTTAAAAGTTATTTTTACTGCCTACAATTTATCTAATTAACACTTAACTGGTTTATTCTGCGATAATTTCGTATACAAATTATATTAGGTAATTCAAAACTTTTTTCTTTGTATTGTGTGTTGCGACGTCATATTTTTGGTGGTACCGACCTTTCGCGCCTCGCCATGCCATGCTGCGGAGCGAAAGGAATTGGTAAGCTGTCTCCTCTTGCTACGAATCAGTCATGCCCCCAAAAAAGGAGACTTAGCGCGTGTGGCCATCTTATTGCTGTTAACGGAAGGCTAGCAAGATCGCGCATTTTAAAGAGCCAATAGACCACCACAGACGGGGCCCTATAGGGCTGATGTTCAGCCGGGGTTGCGGGACAAGCGAAATAAGGCACCGTGGCTTCGGCCTAGAACATGGCAAGGGACGGGGAGGATTTTAGTCAGTAAGAGTCTGACCCTTCCTCCTGCCTACCCTGGGTGGAAGAAGGGAATTTATGGAAACTCGAAAAAAATAATACACACAAAAAATAAAAAATAATGGACGCAAGCAAACCATTGCAATGGTTTTTGGGAAATGTATTTTGGCACCGAAAATATTTCTGACTCACAATCTGAGAAAGTAAAAATCTATAACGCGTATGAATTTACAACCTATGCCGGTAGCAATAAAGTAAATACTCGATTTGTTTGTCCGAACGACGACCCAATTATTTAACCAGTATCTTTTTTTATGGCCAGTAATATTTCAAGTTAAATGGTATCTTATTGCTTAGCTATTGTATTTATGTGATAGGTGTCGCCCCGTCTTACACGCCTTTACGCTCGCTTCTCTTGCATAAGGGTTCGGAGTCCGTTTTCGAGTTATATGTACTTTCTATGATTATTGAGACACCACTGACATACGGTGAAGCAAATCGTCGTAAGGAAGCCTGGACTCATTTTTTCTAATTATAAGTTTAAAATCAATCATCAATCTGCATTGAACAGTGATTAAGTCCGACAGATTACTGTTGAGGGTACAGCTAGAGTGGCCCACATGTTGTCCCCCATGCAGTTCAACGTGTTAGCGCAAACCTTCGTCTGAGAAGACGCCTTTGCTCAAGCATGGGCACTTGTATACACGATGATGATATCAATATTAAATAGTATGACAGTAGAGTAGAGAAGTAGTAGCGCAGTGCACGTACCGATGCGGTTCGCTCTGTTTCAGGTGAGCGACCGCACGCGTGCGTGCACTGCCCCAAGACATTCGTGCACAAGCACTGCCTCAACACCCATCTCTTACTGCACACTACTAACCGACCGTACCGCTGCCTCGAATGCAAGAAATCCTTCACGCTCAAACACCACCTCCTCACACATACCCGGGTAACAATTAATTCATAATTGAATTAAAATTTCATAGGTGAAAGACCCCATGTATGCGCTCATTGCGGCAAGGCGTTTGCGAGGAAGCATTGTCTGAACACACACTTGCTCCTACATTCAGCGCAGAGGCCGTATAGGTGTGATGAATGTAAGATGGCGTTTACATTGAAACATCATCTCGTTACACATTCTAGGGTGAGTTTTTTTTTAGTTCTATGTATGTACATCCTAATAACGGAAACGTATGTATGGATTGATTCAGTTGCGCTAGAGAACATACGGACATTTTGTTACCCTATTTTTATCCACCATTGTGGCGAAAAGATTTGGCGACTAGCAATTTTATGTCCTTTAGATTAACTTTGTAAACATTTTATAATTACTTTTACTTATATAGTCATCTAATAAAACATTATTTTAAGTCCAGTATTTATAAATTGCAGGTCCACAGTAGAGAACGTCCGTTTGTATGCAACGAGTGCGGTCGCGGGTTCCCGTTGAAGCGCCATCTAGTGACGCACAGCAAGTACCACGCGGGGGAGCGGCCCTACGTGTGTAGCGATTGTGGCGAGAGCTTCGCGCAAAAGGTAACTATCTGACAGATAAAAGCTATAACAACTTGCATCACACTACTGTAATCTTCAATAGTGTTTTATCTTTCTAATAAAGTAATATTTATTAGAAATATTATGGTTCTGCACATTTTATTTATCAGCTTTAACTCTCGCTACGGCAACGAAAATATTACTTTTACATACCGATATTCCATCCTCTTTTTTTATTGGACTTATCAAACAGCATGTAAAAGCAATATTAGAATATAGAATAGGTCTAGCCCTTCACGCGTGATCCCATGAGCCACGGATACTGGGTTTAATTTTAGCCTCGGCGTATGTGGCTCGTAAATATGAGTCCCGGTGTTACTTGAAATTAGTAGAGCTTTTCTGTAAAAGCGTAAAGTCGAATAAATTTAGTTATTGAGGATCTCTCACGATAGTTATTAACCCGTGATTATGATCTCAGATTTACGCAAGACACAATGTGTTTTCTATTGTGTCTCATATACCGACAGACAAGAGGTTAACACCAAACTATTTCATTTAAAACACAATGATTTATTTTAAATAGACTACCTGCAAACACTTTGAAAAAGTAAATATAGAAAAGAATCTTCGTTATTACTGTATATTTTTTTCTATTCAATTATCATAATAATATTTTAAAATTTCCAGGAGCACCTAGTAATGCACAGTCGTTTCCACGGCTCCCTGTCCCCGTACGTGTGCCCGGACTGTGGCGTGACGTTTGCCCGCAAGTTCCAGCTGGTCAACCACGGCCGCGTCCACGGCAGGGTGCCTCACTCCTGCCCCGTCTGTGGGAAGGAGTTCTTGCAGAAACGCACCCTTGTAGCTCATATGAAGTTAGTATAGTTTATATATACATAAATATGCTTTTTTTATTCGAACACTTCTTCTTTTGAGGGAGAGCCAAGCTTTTCGGCACGCATGGTTTGGCTCGACCAGATTGACACCTCATTCACAGAAAACCGGCGTTAAACAACCACAGTGTGGGGTTTCGCCGTGTGAGTGAGATTACCGGAGCCCCTATACTTCCCCTTCCCAATCCTTAAATAACCGAAACTCTTGTCCTCAAAAAGCCGGCAATGCACCACTCGTCAACACGTAACTTTTTTGGTGTTGATCGTAATATTTATTATTGTTTATCGACTAAACTATATATAGCCAAATACATTATTCTTAATTTTTGTGGTAATTGTTTCAGAATCCACACAGGGGAGGGTGCTGTAGCATGTCTAGAATGCGGCGAAGCTTTCAAATGCAAATCGGAACTGCACCAACATTGCAAGATGACGCGACATTGTCTTTCGTCGCAAGCGCAGCAGCAACAACAACAGCAACAGCAGCAACAACAACAACAACAGCAGCAGCAACAACAACAAGCCCAGCAACAGGCACAACAACAAGCACAACAACAGGCCCAACAACAAGCGCAACAGCAAGCCCAGCAACAGGCGCAACAACAGGCCCAGCAACAAGCTCAACAACAGCAACAGCAGCAACAACAACAACAGCAACAACAAACAACTGTGATAAAACAAGATGATTTTAAGCCGCAAATTGTACAGGTTTCTTACCATTTTTTGTATTCGTTTTTTTTTCAACCTAATTAATTTGTTGTTATATTTTAATGTATTTTGTTTGTTTGTTGTGTAGGTCATAGGTGCAGATGGTCAAATAGTATCAGAAAAGACTGGTCCGGGTTATGCATGTCCGGAGTGTGGGTCGTGTTTCAACACAAAGGTACGATTTTTGTGTTATTAAGAATAGTAGTTTAATGCTCTGTGTGTTATAGATTAAGTTATTTGTAATAAGGACTGCGAACCAAGTTATCGATTTTTTATAGATATACATTTTAATATACATACCAAAAATTTATATAAAAAGCTTATAATCACAATTTTTTACGTATATACCAACTTATCGGTAGTTTTAAGGCCTCGCGGTAATTGAGCCATTCAAAATAGAAAAAACAATTACTTATGATGTTATTTTTGGAACTGCTGTTTTGATCGGGCTTATGGTCTGTCAGGTTAGGTAATTAACTAAATGTCAACAATCCTAGCATGTGTTTTAATCTAAAAATTCTATGCTAAAATGATTACAATCAGGTATTTACGTAAATTGATATTAGTTTAAATAATCTTTATATATATTTTGAATGTCATCTATATAAAAAGACATGCCAAGATTTGTTAATCTTTAGTTGATTCATCAAACCTAAGCCAACAATGCTTCTATTGTTTTTCTTTATATCTTGAATTGTCACGATTGAAAGGAAACATCAACATAACATTTGCAGTTAGAGCTGTCTCGGGTTACACTGTATAATGTCCCCAGGAGGCGCTGTCCCTGCACGTGCGTCTGCACGCGGGGGACCGCACGTGTGTGACGGACCTGTGTGCCCTCACGGCCGCGCTGCAGCCCGGCCTCGTCGCCGCGCACCAACAACATAGTACGTACACATCATGTAATATACACCTTTGGGTTTGTACTCCAACTTCCTTATCGCGCTTTGCGAAAGGGGGCAAGACGGTAAAAATGAAGATGAACAGTTGTAATGACACTTTGCTATTTCCCCCCTACACCCCCCCCCCTTTCTCTTTCTCGCGCTCTCTCTCTCTCTTTATCTCTATTTCAAAGCAAACAAGCCAGTCATTTTTGTTTCATCTTTATGTTTTCCGTTGAACAATGTGTCACAACGATTATTAATATTGAGTACAAGTTTTTTTAAATTACGTATTATATATTTGTCTATCTAATAATACTGAAATCTAGTTTATATTTTTTTGGTATTTGGTTGGAAAATTGTCATGTTCTCCCGCCTTATGTAATTTTAAACAATTTAGACATACACAAGGATAGGGATAGAGATATCGGTTTTATACTGATGTGTGACTGTGATTTTGGTGAGGGGCTAAAACTCATATTTTCTTGCAGGTTTTATAATCCCAGACCAGCCGAACATACAAATAATTTCATCGAATGCGAACAACGTTGGGCATACGCAAGTCATAGCTTCCGTAAGTGCGAACAGTATTTTTTTTTTTGTTTTTGGATATTGCGTGGGTATGAGTACCCACGGCGCCGGATGGTAAACAATCCGCGCCATCCATGAACACCAGCAATATCTTGGGTTATTTTCCGTCATAATATTTATCAGGTAGTTAGTGGCTATTCAGACATTGTCAGCATCTGAATATAAATATAACTAGAACAGGTCTTTAATAATAAACTGGCAGTTATTCGTTCAGTAAAGCTATTTAAGCAGTCGAGAAAAGCGAGCTAGAACTCCATGTACAGTTTTGTTTGTTTCCATCTTCATTTAAGTATTATGTACTTTGCATTATAATCGGTACTAATTGCCTTCTTTTTTTGAGAGGGTAAATTCATGAAACGCCCCCTACACCAGGGCGGGAAAAGCGCCCTAGTGACGAGAGGGAGTGTCAGACTTAATGACTAAAAATTGTCCCGTTCCTTCTCCTGCTTCAAGTCAAGCTGTGGTACATTGTTGTTTGTCATGCACCCGCAAACCTGGTTGAACATCGGCCCTCGTAGGCCTATCTATGGTGGCCTGATGGCTATTCGAGGCGTGCTTGGAATCCACAAATCGATATTTTTTTACAGTTTTAATCTCTACCTTTACAGAATCATCAAATATCCACTCCCAGACCGAAAGTTCACTTTTGTGGCGACTGCGGGAAAGGTTTCGCGGCTAAACACGGTCTAATAGCGCATCAAAGGAGGTATGCAATGTTTATTTATTTACGGCATATTGTTGAAGTAAAACATTTTTAGTCATTCCAGTCACTTAGCAGTATGTGTATTGTGATATATCTCCGGGGTTGGTGTAAAACCGCGTATAAACTAATCTGGTAACATTCAACGCCACCAAAGCACAGGCGTGTCTATTCACCGCCAAAAGGAGCCCGTTCACCTTGGCTCCTGCTTTTCGGGATGTATCCTTGGAATGCACCGACCGCCTTCAGCTCTTGGGAATGGACATTGCTTCAGACCTCAACTTTGGGCGGTTCATTGAGTCCAGAGCAAAGGTAGCTGCTAGAAAACTCGGCGTTCTTGCAAAAGTCCGACGGTACTTTACACCGAGTCAGCTTCTAATGTTGTATAAAGCTCAGGTCCGATCGTGTGTGGAGTACTGCAGCCACATATGGGCTGGTGCTGCAAAATGCCACCTAGCGGCTTTGGATTCAGTGGAAAGGCGTGCAAAGAGACTGATTGGTGATCCAGATTTGGTTGGGTCCAATCTTCAAAGTCTCGAGCACAGGGGCAGAGTAGCCAGCCTTGCGGTTTTCTACAGGATGCATTTTGGAGAGTGTGCTCAGGAATTGCACGATTTGATTCCGCCATCCCAATTTCACCTTCGGACATCCCGGATTACCGGTCGATACGGCGTACGGCGAATATCCACCCTTACGTTGTTGAGACACCTGCGGCCCGGACTAAGCGTTTTGCCTCGTCATTTATACCGCGTACATCGAGGGATTGGAACAGTTTGCCGGCTGCAGTCTTTCCGTCCGAATACAATTTAGGTGTCTTCAAGGCTAGAATGAATAGGCTCTTAATAAACTAGCTCTTAATAAATATCAACGAATACATCACTGCTTACCATCAGGTGGGATCGCAGTCAAGCACGAGTTTATTGCAAGTAAAAAAAAATCTGCTATTAGAAAACTTCTCTTATCTGATAATTGTACTCGAATTTGTAATTTCACCAGTAATTCATGTGGCCTTTCTCAATCTCTCAATCTAAATCTAATTAAACAAAATTCTATTTTACAATTTATAGCTATAGTAAATCGAATCGATCAAAAAGAGATTGATTTTCGGCAATAGTTTCTTTCAAAAATCAGGATCGATCCAAAGGTTTCCGATTGACATCGGTAATTGAAATCATCTGTTTACCTTTATAGTAGGGAAGGCTAGTACTGACGAAATAAATTTGTGAAATGTAAATAGGTTCAAACACAGCACTACAAACTACAATTAGTATATTAGCTACGATATATCGACATTCTATATTTGTTGCCCGCAGACACCCGGACGGTAGCTGTACCCTGCGCACGCATGTGTGTGACCAGTGCGGGAAGGCATTCTTCCAGAAGAACCATCTCATGCTGCATCAACGGCAACATATGGACCTACCGCCTAGAGCTGTGAGTATTACTTTTTTGTAGGGTAATGTAGACTCCTGTGACATGTGGTGAAAGTAAACTAAGAAAGTATAAAGCTAAGCTTGGGCGAGCCATGCTTCGGTACGAATGGCACCGATATGAAAGAATCATAGCGTTAGGTTTCGCCGTGTGAGTGAGCTTACCTGAGGCCCAATTTTTCCCCGCCCCCAATAACTGATTTATAAATTGGTCGGCAATGCACTCGTAACTCCTCTTTTATTGCGGGTGTCCATGGGGGGCGCTGATTGCTTCCATACCATCAGGTAATGGCTGACTCAATATATCTTTTTTTTTCTTTTTTTTTAAAAAAAAACGTTGCCCCACTTTAGGATTTTCTCCTGTGTTGTGGGTGCGTTTACAAACATACAATGTCACTTGCACATGACACCCAGACCCGAAACAACAATTTGTGGATCTCACAAAGTGTTGTTCCGGGAATCGAACCGGCGACACGTTGCACGGCAGCCAGTTGCCCAGCCACCGCACCAACCATACAGTCAAATGTCTAGTTTGATAATTGTGTCGGTCTGACACCTTATCAAATAATTTTAAGGTTTTCCTAACATTCATATTTTCATAAATAAACTGACCGGGCTCAGCCATAATATTGCCTTGCCTTCGGTTGTATATTGCTTTGATCGCTCTATTGCATAATGCTATGAAAGTAGCTGAAGTACACCAGTCTTGCAGTGTCCACATTTGTTAGCTGTCGTATCTTCCAGACAGCAAATGCTGTAGAGCTCAACCGTCCTGCCAGAGACGTGATATGGAGTGCCATTGTACTTTCTGATCTATGGTTATACCCAGAAAAGTAGTTGGTTTTACAAATTCTGATTTATTACCATTCAATAATATGTCACATTCGTTACTTAAAAGTACATTACATTTGGCAAACTGAATCGTATATCACTTTGTCTTTTTATCGTTTAGGACAAAATTATTAATTGTAAACTAATTATGAAACTTCGTAACAGCATTATTTACGTCGTCATAATTATTTGTCCGTCTATTTGTTTTAAAAATTAACGATATTTATGTAGACCAAAAACAGAAAAGGACCTAATATCGAACCTTGTGGTACGCCCGTAGATATGATAACACCCTGGAAGTTTACTTTATTTTAGCTGTACTTTGAGCTGCCTACCCTGGAGGTGTGATTTCCATTAATTGAGTGAAGTCCCTCGAATACCATAGTGTTCCAACTTTAGCAACAGTGTCTCGTGTTCGACCCCATCAAAAGCTTTGGACAGTTCACAAAACAAATCCAATAGCGTCGTATGACTGTTCCCGCGAGGCAAAAACATGCTTAATTAGAGTTACACGGCATCAGCTGTGCACCGTACACGACCTTTAGTGAACCCACATTGTTGGTTATGAAAGATGGAATTCATATTAAAGTGTCGTAGCATCTGAGAAAGCATCAGCTTTTCAAACACCTTACTAAGCACCGGTAAAATAGATACCGGCCTATAATTATTGGGTCCGGTATCATCGCCAGTTTTAATCAACGGAACTAACACTATGTTTTATCAAATTTGGAAATACTCCCTGATCTACACTTGTATTATAAATTCAAGCTCAATAACTCGCCGGAAGCCCCCCTTGTTTTATACTATGCATTGCAGTGATGTGCATTCAAGTTTACGATATAACCTCAAAATATTCTTTCCAGAGTCAAGGCCAGACAGTATCGCAGCAACAGACGGCGCAACAGGCCGTCCAGCAAGCGACGCAGCAACAAGTGCAACAGGTGCAGCAACAGGTGCAACAGCAGGTGCAGCAGCAGGTGCAGCACCAGGTGCAGCAGGCGCACCAACAGCTCGAGCTGGACCACGACCACCAGCAGCCCACGCATATACAAGTCGTGAGTACTATACACACGATCAATCTACTTATCATTTAAGACATTAGCTTTAAGCCGCGTATCGACATGTTCGACCGCGCCGCGTTTTCCTTCATCTGACAGCCTCGACCCAGAGATGGGATGCGCGTGTTAAAATGGCGTAGGACCAGTGTTAGTAGGATTTTATTCCTATCAGTACTTATATTTTCCTCCTCCCTAGGCTGGGTACCGACATAACTCTTTTGATTTAGATAATTAACTAAATGTAAATTATCTTGGTAGTAGGTAATCTCTCAATCAAAAGTAATGTGTATAAAAAAAAGTTCTTTGGGAAAGTTCATGTGACCACGTGTTTAAATATCAGTCTTTATTAACCAGTTACCCCATATATTTTATACAACTCTTTTAATATAAAAAGACATGCCAAGATTTACCTTTGCTTAATTAACTAAACCGATAGACCATAGGTATGCAGTTGTAGAAGAGCTAAGAAAGATCCTCTGTGACGACTGTCTACTCGCCAAATACTTCTAAAAAGCTCTAGTTATTAGACCTAAAAGTCTTGGCTCAGTGTTCCATTATATTTTGATCTATCTTCACGAGGTCTCCATGTTGTTTTAGGTAAATTTAGATCAGAAAGGTGTTACATTGGATCACACTAAGGATTTTTGCCAAATCAGGTTTACCTAAGGTTAGGATAGAGATTAAAAATAGAAATGATTAGTTTATGGTGATCTAATAATAATAATAATAAATCCGCAAGGCAGCTTGTGGCGAGCTGTTGGGCAGTGGCGACCCCACGGACCTGACTCCCGGGAGGTGTCTTGTTCTTCTCTCTCCGGTTAGTCCTCGTGACTAGCTGGAGTGAACACTGATGAGGAACAAGCCCTCTCACCTCATTCTTGCCTTAATTGGCTGGCTTGAGTGGAGATTCGCAAGAGTAGGAGTTGAAGGAGACTCGGGGGAAGGATGTATCTCAGTAAGATGCTGGTAGGGGTCTTGACCGTACTTCCGGGATTGCTCTGATAGCCGTGAGATGCCTCTCCTTCCCCAAGCAGCTCAACGTATGTTGCCCCCGTGTCGCTACATGCTAGCGGCCGTTTCCGGGGGCCCATTAATTGAGTTTGCCAGTCACACCCTGCCTGTTTATCCGTATGTATCAATATTGGTCAGGGGCAGGGGCCATAGTATTTCCATAGTTTTCATCCACTAGTGCATAGCAACCCATACCCATAACCCTATCAATTGTTACCACATTTTACAATAGTCCTGCATCAACCGGGGATTGTCCTTGGGTGCACTTTTATAGTGCATACAGGGATAATTGCCGGCTGATGTCCCATTTCACTTATATTAAAGTTGTTCAACGGGCCTCTGCGAGTTGGCTTCGGCCCCTCGTACGCCTTCCAAAGGTCCGGGATCCTGTGATCCCGTGAACGGAAACGAACATACAAATATAATAATAACGCTACTATAGGGCTTTACATGGGCCAGAGGTAGACTTCTTAGCGTCCGTATCCTGGCTACGTTTCGGCAACTTATTTGGTGAAACAGAAGGTTTTGTCTGTGCAATTATGGACGAAGTTATGCTGACGAACAATTATCGAAAATATATTATAAAGGATGGTTCGGCTGACATCTGTCGGGCATGTCATCGCCCTGGGGAATCCATCCGACATATAATTTCGGGTTGTTCTCACCTAGCTAATGGAGAGTACTTGCATAGACACAACCTCGTGGCCAGGATTATCCACCAGCAACTTGCTTTAAAATACAAACTTGTTGAATCTGAAGTGCCGTACTATAAGTATCTGCCTGACCCAGTTCTCGAGAATGGAGATGTCACATATTGTATTGGGATCGAACTATCATCACTGATAGTACAATTGTAGCCAACAAACCTGACATTGTGATGATAGATCGATCTAGCCGTCGCACAATGATAATTGATATAACAATCCCACATGACGAGAATCTTGTGAAAGCTGAAAAAGATAAAGCAAGTAAATATCTTGATTAGGCTCATGAGATTGTCGACATGTGGGATGTAGACTCAGCAATCATAGTCGTGTCTGCCAATGGTCTAATGGCTAAAAGCCTTGATAAACACCTAAGCAGGCTTACGTTAGATGGTTGGGTCAAGAATCTGATCCAGAAAGCTGTACTTCTAGACACGGCGCGCATTGTCCGGAGATTCCTTTCTCTGGAACCCTGACCACCGGTTGCTTGGAACCCTCCCGTAACCGGTGGGATACTGCTTTTTATATTTTTAAGTGTTTTTTTTTTTGTTTTATGAAAATATTTAAAAATGTAAAAATCAAGTTTTAAAATAAATAAAAAAATAATAATAATAAATAAAGTATTTTATGTTTATTTAAGTTAATGCTCATGTGATTTAACACATACTCTAAATGTGTAGAATTTGCATTAGACCTCATTAGAAGCTGAGAAAAAGGATCTGAAATTCACATAATCAGTAAATAAATTTTCAAACTGACTAATGAATAAGGATTGATGCGCTGATGACGTGAATTTTATTCATATAATATAATAATGAATACTATTAATTCGCTTAGATGTACGTCGTAAACGAAGTGAAGGTCAAGAAAGAAGTAGCTTAACTCGGTACGCAGTGATTCGTAAGAATGTTTCCAAAATAATACATTGATAATGTTATACAGGTGATATTGTTTACATGTCTTTAAGAAATATTTGGTTATTGAAAATACCGTCTTACTCACGTGAATAAACTGAAAGGCTCTACTAGTTTCAAGTCATTACGGGACTCTTATTCATGAGCAGCGTGCGCGTCGTGGCGACGTCACGCAGCCAACAGTTGGCTGCAAAAGAGTCCCGTTGTGACTTGAATAGTAGAGCTTTTCTCAGTTAATTCAAGTATGTTATTTTCTTAAAATTGAGTATGTTTCACGATAGTTACTATTCAAAAAATAATTGTTTTTAGAATTATAAACAAGTACTCCAATGACTCTTGACCCTGATGTGGTTAAAATGTGTACTATACTGAAATGTATGGGACAGTCGATTTGTTTTTTTCGCTACCTGGGCTGGGCCCTTAGTAGTAGTTGTTCGTAATCATGAAAACGCCCAAAATGCCCAAAGGTATGCATTCAACATCAGCCTGTATATTATAATATCATAAAGGACGTATGGGTAAATTTTAAACAATTATCTTATTTGACACCCTGCCTAATACCAATACAAAGACCCTTGAGATAACTAACCTAACTTAATTAAGTCTATGTACTACAGTATTTATACATGAAGTTTTATTTAAAGTAAGTACTTACTGAAAAAAGAAAAATTATCTTAGAATTTATTAGTCAAAATTTGCTTTTAATTAAGTATTATGTCTGAAATAACTTACAACCCTTACGTCCTTTAAAAATACTAAAATATTAGTGTGGAAAAGTATTTAATGTTGTAGGTAGTATAAATTAGTAAGTAAGTAATTTATGCAGTAGATAAGTAGTGTATATAACCCGTTTTTATAACCGAAAATGTTAGTAATAATTATTGTGAAAACATCTAGACTTTTAGTAGTGTTTATGTAATGTACCAAATTACGATAATGTTATAAAAATCGGCGTGAATCCACAGTCTTGTGTCACCGTCTGAGTGAGGTTACTAGAGGCCCAATCCTTGCCCTTACCCCAGCCCTCGATAATCCCTAAATCCCCAAAACTTCTTATCCCGATAAGGCCTCCTCCGGTGTTGCCGGTGTCCATGGGGGAAGCCCAATGCTTAACATCAGGTAATCCGTATGCTCGTTTACCGCCATATGACATCAACAAATATTATGTTAAATCTCTATATTATGTTTAAGTAAATGCAATAGGTGAAGTGTTCGAAGGAATGCAATGTTTATGGGATGATATTGCGAGCAGTCGCAATTCCAATTCTTATTTTTTTTAACATATATATGATATTGTCATAGGTGACGAATAGATCTGGCCAAGTCATCGGCAACCAGATCGTGGTGGGCGGGTTGAGCGGGGGACGTCGCCTCGTGGCTCCACTACATATTGTCAGCCGAGACGTGAAGCCCAACCTGTCACATCTACATAAACATCATGGGCGACAACACACCACCAGGTAATATTATTTTACCACATTATTATACGGTAGAACAAAAAAAAATGGCGACAGGACGACCTATATCAATCTGCAAAAAATTTATTTACATTTATATTTTTTTTTATATTAAAAGATTTGACACAAAGGAGGAGCTTGGCATAGATTCTTTGATCTAGAATTTTATGTAAATAAATTGAAATTAATCATAAAATGCTGTGCAAAAATACAACTGCACATTTAATAGGGAATTTATACAGAGACTGACAAACAAATGGTATTGTCAATCTAATACAGAGGCAACAGCATCGTCATAAGGCGTCAGAATAGGGTGATTTTTAGTCATTAAGATTTTAATACTCACTACCAGGAGACTGGTTGTATTTATCTCTTGAAGGGCAAATTTTTCAATAGTTGTATAAAGGTTATCTGAGGAATAAAATAGTTGCTGTCACTGCCTTATACAAACATTCTGACGCGACATCATCATAAGTATTCCCCAGGTAACTTTATTAACTCTTCAAAAATATTCCTTAAAAAAACTAATGAAAAACCCCTCTTTCGAATAGGATACATAATAGTTCAATAATGGACTACCATAATCTGTTAACGTTAAATAAAATGATATTAATTAAACCTTTCGTTCCACAGTGGTGATGCAAAAGAAGTCGGCGGTCTAGTCCTATCGGCAGGTCGGACAGGCCTCATAAAGTACGAAATCTCCCTCCCTCCCCCAACGTCCGTAGTACAAGTGCAACAACTAGACTGAGTGAAGCGAGACCCAGATGAACCTATGGTCGTTTGGATGAAAAAGTGACAGTGACTTGTGACATAACTATGTGTGACAGTTAAACAGTGATGCTAGTGCGGTGATGTGATTATAGTATGCTTGTACAAGATTTGGATAGAAGAGCAATAAATAAAACGAGGTATTGTGATATTTGAAAATTATATAGTTTTTGCTGTTATTTAGAGGGAGTTTGATGAATGTATTTGGTATTGGAGTTGCATAAGTAAACTAATCAAGGTAACTTAAGCTGACAAATGCGTATAATCAATTTTTAACCATTTGTTTTGGTAATAAAGTTGAAATCTAGACAATTCACAACAGTTTCTGTGTTACAGTGTTGTGTACAGTGGAGCTGCTGTTATGAAATCTGAAATGGTTTTATGCATTCAATTTACATTAACTTTTACATAAGGGGTTGATTCCATTGTTGAAAAGTAATTAAATGTGTAGCTTGCATTTAAGCAAAAACACTGCCAGTTCAGCAATAAAATTGCATTGAAAACAATGGAATAAACAATACTCTAAGAGTTGAGATAAGTAGTCACTTTGTTCCATTAATTGAGCAGTTCTTATGTGGCATACCAATATTATGTGCTATTTTATCATTATGAAAGAGTATTTTTTCCCTTGAATCCTTCACTGCAAACAGGTTACTCTTGAGGGCATAATATGGCCCACATATCACCCATATGGCATTAAATGTGTTAAACAATATTCTATATTGATTTATTATATCAATTGAATCAACTGCCAAAAGTATGCCTACACCAATTTTAAATTTCAGAATGTGTTGCCACTGTAAACCAAAAATAATGTATACACATAAAAAAATGCAATTCTTTTTCACATACATGACAGTGTATTGTAAGAGTTAATGCTTATAGTTACAAATGTATTTTAATGTCTACTTATCTCAACTTAAAATTATAGGAAAGTCACTGCCATGGATTGTGATACACAGTTTATTTACTAAATACCAATACAAAATCGTGTGAATAATTTTATGGTGTGTTCAATCCACACACTCATGCACTCTGAATAAAGTATTAATAAAAAGACAAGTTATTTATATTGTGTTAAATTATTATATTATGCCCCAGTTAATTAAATTTTGGGCCAGTTGATTTAGCATAAATATTATCACTGCTTGTATCCTCCAAATTCATATTTTAAAATATGCATACCTATCCAATAACTAAAAAGAAATTTATTTAACTATTGGTTTCTAGGCCTTCTTTTCTGGTCATTTGTAAGAATGAAGTATAGTAGGGCAAATTTTATTACGACCAAAAATCTTGTACAAGCATACTAATTTTTAAATAAATGGTACATTTTGTATAAAGGTATGACTGACAGAATTATGTAAATACAGTATATGTGCAATGCAGTATCGGATTCTTAGGGAAATTGAATCAACTCAGTTACAAAGACAATCGGAGCCCATAGCGTATGTTTTAGCTCTGTCATGTGTGTGTTATAGACTATTTTTATTATTTCTGTCATTGCAATTATTTAGAGTAGTTATAGTTGCTTTGGAACTAATAACATTACACTTGTTGATTATATTATAATAGGAGCTAGTCCTAGTAGTAGAGCTGATGTTTGAGGGATTTCAGACCCAAAAATAATCAAAAATATTGGCTCTACCATCAAATCTTTTGCTTGATAGCAGAATGATAAACAAGTCAACCAAATTAACTAGTATGTTAAATGATATCAATACAAGATTGTTTCATAGACTTCTACCACTTGAGGGGATTTTAAGCCCAAAAATTAAAATAATATCCCCATTATAGATTATATTCTTGACTCCAACATCAATCTTTTGCTCAGTAGCAGAACTTACGATAAACAAGGCAGTCAAAATAACAAGTACATATGTAAAATTTTAGCTATACAAGTTAGTTTCAAAGTAACTCTGATTACTCTATGTAGTCATAATTACAGAAATTGGGGCCTTTTTATTAAAGATCAATAAACTAGTATTGTAAAAATAGTTTGTATACTGAACTCTATAAACACCTATGACAAAGTTCAAACTAATCCTTAGCCAACATAATAGAACTAAAAAACTAAGCCTAAATTAAAAAAGGATGTAATTATAATGCCAATAGATTGGAAAGCTTTATTTAATGTTTAGACGTCTGCCTTACATTAGAGCCTTAATTTTATCGTTCTTTGTAATAGATATAGAAACGGAAACTACTTAATTTCGATGGCAATAAAAATAAACTGATTCATTTGTATAATATAATTGTAAGTAAATGTTCTAAAATTTAGGACATTGGTGTGTAAAGAGACAAGGTATAGGAACCACGTTTTTTTTGTATAATAAAACATAATTATAAGGGCAACTTACTATAGTTAGTAATCTCCTGTACATATCAAGTTTTTACAACACTGAATGGCGTTTTGTAATGAAAATGTACAATCTCTATGTAGGTACGCATTTAAGTTTTTGGTCAAATGTTGTTTTGTATTTATCGGACATGTTACTGGCCGTTCTAGGTATAATTTATAGAGTATTCTTTTTTTGTATTCGAATCATCGAATATGTTGTTGTTTGAAGTTACGCACATTTAGCTTAGGGATAAACGAAAATATTAGTGTAATAGACTAGTAATTTTGTTATTAGTCATTATCTAAATATTCTTTAAATTGTATCTCCAATTGCCACTGACAGTTCCGATGTATATGAACAACCGTTTGTTATAATTTAGGCTTCATGTCAATAGGCTTCTTTTAAGTACATATAAATAATCATTTAATTACCTTTTTTTGAAGTTACGGCAGTAAGGAGGTGTGTTATGTGCAATCAAAATTCAAGATAATTATAGATCTGAGGTTTTATTTGAAATGTCGAAAACTTTTTGATGTGACTTGGCTGAATAGGTTCTTTCCTTTGTCTTCATTGGTGTAATAAACTATTTAATTGGTTACAAAATAATTTGTCCAAGTTACATGATTATTGTTGAAAAATAAATATGGATGTGGCAGTGTTGTTTAAGGTTTTAACTGTATTTGAAATGTCGCTGAATATTGAGATGTAGTCATATAATAGAAGAAAGTAAAGAAATATAAATAGGTTATGGATTATACTTAATATTGTTTATAGTACATATTTTAATAATTATTTTTTGTTTGTTTATTTTAAAACTTATGTCCGAAAAAGTACTTAATTTCTCACTCTGGCATAGACAATTTTGTAAAGATAGTTGTGGTGCGAAGTCTTCCATAACAGAGCAACCATAAACAACATTGCGCCCATAAAGAAATAGCGTTCGTCTATTATTTTTGGTATCTAATCTAGTCTGTGATAAGGGAATGGTTACTTCTGTCCGTAACATGTCTTAAGGGAAAACAGATTTATAAATATATTTTATAATTAATAACATAAAATATATGGGATTTTTATATCTACTACAGTTTCAATTATTTACTTATACTTGGACTGCTATATCTGCGTAAGAATTAACTAATATATACCTTAATTCTTAGGTATAAGAGTGGTTTTTATATTTCAAAGATTATTTATTGTGTTTCATATACTATCAGTTGGAGCTTATATTGAGATGCGTTACGTGTAATATGTCTATGCGAAAATATACCTTATTCCTATTGTCTATAGTTCATTTTTGGTGCCTGACTAACGCTTTTATAAAAGAAATGTTAGACCTAGATCTCCTCATGTCTGACCATTCATTTTGGTCAAAATGCTCTTAATACACTCAAAATAATAGCCTTCTGAAGAAGCAATATTAATTATAAAACAAATATTCTTAACTTCGGGTGGCAATCTGCACATAACTTAATACTTTACCTACATTGGTTGGTAGTAATGAACATAAATTTTTTCATGCATTTTATATGGTAGGGTACGTCAGCAGGTCAAATGAATGGAATCTCTTTTTTCAATGGATTTTCAATGAAACAATGAATTTATTTTTGCAAATAGGCCATAAAACGGCACTTTTACACGTCAAATTATATGTGAAACTAGATGAAGCTGGCATTTCCTATCTGACTACTCTGAGACTTTCGACTTTAGGCATATCAAAACAACGTATAAGTAGTAAGTCTATGATGGCTTGGCCAGATGTCAGCAAGTCAGGTACTAATGGTAATTATTCCAGAAAAATCATTCTGTAAGTCTACAGGCTCTTTATGAAAGTAATAAAACATTCATTATGTGATACAGACACTTGTGGACTAGTCTAATCTAGACTAGTCTTGGCTAACAATACTGCTATTGTTATAAGGGCCGTTTTTTCAATGGTTAGATAAAAGTTACCTAAGGAATAATTATGATGCTGTCGCGTCAGAATGTTTGTATAAGACAGTTACAGCAACAATTTTATTACTCACATAACATTTATCTGACTTTTGTAAAACCAGCCCTAAGAGAAATACATTCTATAAATTAATGCTACAAGCTCTTCACAGCAATACATGTAATTAAGTTGCTTATTGGAAGAAAAAATATGAAATGTTCACCATCGCAGGCCGTGTTTTTAGCTCACCACCAGATGATAAAGGCCAAACTTTATGAAAAATTATTTATTTTATTCAAAAAAATAACAATAGCAAACATCCAATGTCTTTATTCATCACTATCTTCCATTTGAACATGACTTCCATATGAAATAATACAATTAGAACATAATTTCTTCCACAATAAGGTTTAAAAATCAAAATCCGACATATTACGGACAGAATTGTGTTGTGAGGTCTGCTTAATTTTATCTGCGCAGTATTATGTATAAAAAAAACATTACAATAAAAGCTCTGGTAACCCAGAGATACTACTTCCATATTATATTATTGTTTCTTTTTTAATATATTAAATCTTGACAAGTTGTTTGCCATTAACTTTCGTGTAAATATTATAGTGGATATCTATAATTTTTATATTAAATGAGAATATACATACCGTAATGTTTGTTTTATTTTTGGTAAAGTATTAATTAAGAAAAAAATTACATTCTTTGGAAAGTCTTCGATTATAGTTGATCGTAATAAAAATAATATTGTTATGCATGGTCTGAACAACAAATTACGTAGGTAAGTTACCTTTCCAGTTTGAATTCATAGATTATTCATATTTCATAGAAGTACTACATTCTTATTTCTACCTCATCTAGGGACAACTGGTGACTTTTAAGACTGTTAATATCTACTTAACACTAAAAAGCCTATGTCTCACGTAATAACAAAATTACTTGACCTTTAACCCTATGGGCACAGGGTTCAACGTTTTCAAATATCTCTGGAGGTCCCAGGAGGGCTGAAAGAGGTCTTTTTTTACCGACGAAATAAGTTTCTCAAGTGTCCCACATTCTGGGGAGTGTTGTACATTTTTCAAAACTTCGACTCATCTATGTTCTATCTCTAGGGTG